GCGACAGCCGAGCTGGCGACCAACGCTTCTGCCCTGGACGTGGCCGGGACGGCTGTAGTGGACATGAAGGGCACGGCCGAGCTGGACCCGCTCGTGGACACTGTGTCGGCGAAGGACGCGGTCGGCCAGGTGATAGAGAAGATCGTGCACCTGGACGTCGTCGACGTGAGCGCACCGATGGGCGAGACCGTCGACATGGCGTGCGAGGGCCACCCGTCGCGGTGGCACGGGTGGTGCGACGACCTCGACGACCAGAGCTTGCTGGTCCCGCCTTTCCCGACGCTGGACGGGCCCCTTCAGCAGGCGAGCGAGTAGCGCGAGCACGAGGCCAAGAAGCTGGGTAAGGAGAGTGGCGAGGGAGCGCCACGCCGAGGACGTGGCGCGCGTTCTGGGCGAGCAACTTCGCGTCAAGCTGTTCGGCGACGTGCACGAGGCACCCGGGCGCGCCGCCGCGGCTCCCGCGCTCCTCCCCGCCCCGTCCTCCTCCATCGGCGTCGGGCGGGCTCTAATGTGGCTGCGGCGATGCTGTCGTGCGTGCAGAGGGGAGGTCAGGAAGCTGGCCAGTGACCCCAGTCGGGTAGCGGGGTCATCTATGGGGGCTGCGCTGCGCCGAGCGGGATTCGCCACGTCTCGGGATGGCGTAGTCTCTCGGGTGTATCTGCTAGCTGCTAGTCCTTCTGGCTCAGCAAAGAGTTCACGTAGATATCCCGAGGCCTCTGGGGCCTCCAGGATCCTGGGCGGCACGGAAACTTACAGCCACGTCCTCCTCCTCCTCCTCCTCCTCCTCCTCCTCCCCCTATTCCTGTATCCTGCGCCTCCTCCTCCTCCTCCTCCTCCTCCTCCTCCTCCTCCTCCTCCTCCTCCTCCTCCTCCTCCTCCTCCTCCTCCTCCTCCTCCTCCTCCTCCTCCTCCTCCTCCTCCTCCTCCTCCTCCTCCTCCTCCTCCTCCTCCTCCTCCTCCTCCTCCTCCTCCTCCTCCTCCTCCTCCTCCTCCTCTCTCTCTATCTATATCTATATTTCTATATATATATATATATAGATATAATACCCCACTGTCGCACTACTAGGCGTGTCCGTAAGTCGGGCCGGGCATTTCGCTGTAGACTTCCTTGCAACTGACCATCCTGAAGCTAAACTTCAACCGGCTACAAGAATGGAGGGTCGGTGATTTCCAAAAATGTGGCTCTTGGCTTAGTGCCGCGCGCACTTCTCTGTTCAACTCCCACTAGCTGCACGGACGGAGGGCAGGTCATTTGAAAGATAGGGCCCTCGCTCGAGATCTCCAGAAATATGATGACCTGAGCTTTGAAAGTGTGCAGCGACCACACGAATGGATGACGTATCCTTGTCAGAACGGGGCTATCGCTGGATACGTATTCGAACTACACGTTGCGCATAACTCGAAGGATGGAGGGTGGATCCTTTACAAAACGGAGTCTCGCATCAGCAGCAAGCCCACATGGCGCTCGACATTCCAGATGGGGCGCTTCCCGCAGCAGAAACAAATACTTGTGGGGACTCATGAGGCGGGGACTTTGGAAGGGAGGGTGTGTATTAGAGCATCGTTGATGCATCCGTGGCTTGTTAGTGTCCTCCTCCTCCTCCTCATCATAATCCTCCTCCTCCCTGGATCGACGTGTGTTGAAGATGCACGGCCCTCGTGTGGCCGCGCTTAAACTTACCGCCTGCTCCTGATCCTCCTCCTCGTTCTCCTTGGGAGGATCCATGCTGTGTGATGCAAGGCTATGCTATGCAGCGCTACGCCATGCTTTGCTGTGATAAGTCGCGACGCACTGTGCTGCGCAATGGCATGTGCTTGGACGTACTGTTATGCTAGTTTATCAAGTACGTCGTTACGTCAAATATGTCTTTACGTGTGTATGGTATGGTACGCGCTGCTTGTAAGTGCAATGTGTTGCTATGCCGTGCTTGACTATGATATGTTACGACATGCTCTACGCAGCGCTGTGCCCAAGTGCGCAAAACTATAACATGTTCCTCGACGTTATGCCGTGCCGTGTGTTACAATGCTATGCAATGCAATTCAATGCAAAGTACTACTATGCTATTGGACGCTATGCTACAGTGCGGGCGCGGCCGCAAGAAACCCTTGCAAGAAGCCAAGCCCTGAAACTCCGCGCGCGAGGTGCAATTGGGGGGACACTCAAGGCACCCTGACTGCAGCTATTTCTTAACGCCCGCGCGGGAAGTCACTGCGCAGCGCGCGCAGTGAAGAAACCCATGGTACCCTGACGAACAGCACGTGGTTTCATGATGCGCGTCCCTTCTGTCTACCATGCTATACCATATTATGCTGTACAATACTATGCTATGCCACGCTGCCGTGCGATGGCATGCTAGGCGGTGCATGGTGCTGTCGACAATATTCCTTCCTACGCCTTGCAATACAATGCATTTTATTGCATTGCATTACGCTGTGCTGCAATGCATTGCGTCTCATTGCGTTGCGTTGCAACCGCACTCTCTCAGCAAAAGAGGAGTGCCCCTACATGGGGACGCGGCAGGCTCACTACGGGCCATGCCAAAGGGGTCTGAGTCATGACTGGGGGGGTCCTCACCTCCTCGGAGAAGGGCCCCTCAGGACATCCAAACTCCGACAGACCGCTCTGAACGCTCGAGATCGTCCAACGACCTCCTTGGTCCTCGCACCTCGACTCAGGACGAACTGGCGACCCTCTTAGCGGATACCCCCCAGTGCCTGATCACTGCAGACAATGCAAGGCGTGCTCGTGAGGTGTCCTCGACTCCAGCTGGACAGGCTGGTGGCACGCAGCGCCGGGAATCTTGAAAGGCTGCCCACTTAGCTACCACAAAACCTCAGGCAGCGCAGCCAAATCTGCACGGCGATAGTAACGTTCCTCCGCCCATCCTTCGGTCGCGATTGTAGCATTCCCCCGCCCTTCCTTCACGCGAGGCGGGAAAACTTCACCTCCCCCCACCACGTGTGCGTCCGTTCCAACCCTCCGGTCCCACCCCCCCGCTCTGAGAGAACAAAAGAGTGCCGATGCCGTTGCTCCCTCGACCTCTCCCATGGTGCGCTCTGACCACGACACTTCGAGGGCGACGAGGTGTCTCCGCGACGAGCAGCGGTATCGGTCGCATTTTCCTCCTTTCCGGCCTCCTTCCACCCGCCGCCCCTTACACACCAGCCCGACAGCCTTAGAGGAGAAACAAAAACGGCATAGGCACAAACTTTCGATGGTCCGCACGAACTTCTTGATCTGAGCTGGACCCCGTCCCTGGCGCGCGGAGCGCGCCAGGGTCGGCGCCAGGGTCGGCGCCAGAGGCGCCGCCGGGGGAGCCATACGCAGATCCAAGGAATCCGCGCGGATCGTCGAACACTTAAATGCATACAGTTGTTTCTTCTTAGAGGCCTCTTGGGCCGAGCCCGGGAGCCGTCGGCAACGCAGCGGCGACGTCGGCGCGACGAACATCGGGCTCCACATTGCGCCGCATCGCCGATGCATCGGCGATGCGGCGCAACCCCCCGACCCTATCTGCTCCAGTCCCCTCTGGGAGGCCTGCGACCCTCCTCGAAATCAAACGCAAGTCCGTACACAACCCCCTCGCCCCCGACTTCCAACGTTGATGGGCGCGCGCAGCGCGGCCCGCGGGGTAGCAACAAAAATTGCAGTCGCCAGCTTCGGCGTCAGCACTGGAATTGGGGGCCCGGGGGCGTTGCCGTCGTTGGAAGACCTTTCGCTTGATTTCGAGAAAGATGTAGACTGACGCGCCGGCCCGACCGGCCTCTCGGGTCGAGCCTTAGGTCGGAAGAAAAACATAGCATAATCAAGCAATATTACAATAATCATCGGACGTCGTAGAAAAAACTTCCACCTACTATATCTTGACAACTTTTGCATACTCCTCCTGTAGAGGGACAAGCCCGACTGAAGTCGAGCCCGGCGGTCGCCACGTGCAGATTCGCCACGAGGGGCGGCGTGAGCAGGGGCACAAAGAAGCCAGGATTAGGTCGGGCATGTCCTCCTAGAGGCGGAATTGGGACAAAGGTAAACAACTTATTCAAACAATGGTCAAAATTATCCTGGCGGACGACCCAACCACGTGCAGCTGTGAATACTGCGTTGTGGGTACAGCTCTCGGTGGAACCCCTTATGGGGCCACGATCCTCGTGAGGGGTGCAAGAATCAGCGGGGGGGGCGCATGCAAACCCTGCCGCTGGGGCCTTCGGTGGGGCTCCCTATGGGGTCACGATCCTCGAATTGGGTGGGGGGGCGCATGCAAACCCTGCCGCTGGGGCTTTCGGTGGAGCTGCCTATGGGGCCGCGATCCTCGTGAGGGGTGTGCCGAAATGGGCGGGGGGGCGCATGGAAACCCTGCCGCTGGGGCCTTTGGTGGAGCTCCCTGCGGGGCCGCGATGCTCGTGAGGGGTCTGCCAAAATGGGCGGGGACACGCATGCGAACCCTGCCGCTAGGGCCTTTGGTGGAGCACCTTATGGGGCCGCGATGCTCGTGAGGGGTCTGCCAAAATGGGCGGGGAGACGCATGCGAACCCTGCCGCTGGGGCCCTCGGTGGAGCTCCCTTCTGGGGCCACGGTCCTCGTGAGGAGTGTGCCGACATGGGCGGGGGGACACATACAAACACTGCCACCGGGGCCTTCGGTGGAGCTCCTTATGGGGCCTCGATCCTCGTGAGGGGTGTGCCGAAATGGGCGGGGGGGCGCGTGCAATTCCTGCCGCTGAGGCCTTCGATGGAGCTCCCTGCGGGGCCGCGATCCCAGTGAGGGGCGTGCCGAAATCGGCTGGGGAACGCATGCGAACCCTGCCGCAAAGGCCTTTGGTGGAGCTCCCTGCGGGGCCGCGATGCTCGCGAGGGGTGCGCCGAAATGGGCGGGGGGGGCGCGTGCAAACCTGCCGCTGGGTTTTTTTTGTTTGTTTGTTTGTTGGTTTGTTGGTTGGTTGGTTGGTTGGTTGGTTTGTTTGTTTGTTTGTTTGTTTGTTTGTTTGTTGATTTCTGAATTAAAAATGGCCGGCGCAGCTCGCGCAGCGCGAGCTGCGCGCAGGACGGGCGGGCGGCGGCAGCCGCGCAAGATGTGCAGCCCGAGAGGCGCGGCAAACGGCTGGCCTCATCGTTGCAGCGCCCACCCGTCACTCTGCCAGGCGCTTTCCCGACTTGGGATCGCAACCTGCCTTGATGTTGCCGGTCTTGCGGTTCCTCCACCGCAGCGCATTCCCTGCCGCGGGCTCGCACTTCCAAGGGGGCGGTGCTTCCCTTTGATCTCCTTCGCGTAGGCTCGGCAGCGCGCGCGCACGGCAGCCGTTGATGCTGACCAGCTGGCGCCCGTCGCTGGCCGCATCTGCTCTGCCCGAGCCCGCTGGTGCAGGAGTGTCGTCCTGCATCCTGCTCGCGGCCGCAGGGTGGTCGTCCTGCGCGCCGCCTCGCGAGTCGCCGTCGGCCGCGGCGGCCCCCAGGCGCCTCCTCTTGCCGCGGGCCGTGTCGAGGGCGCGCCTGAAGGCGGCTGCAGGGGTGTCGACTTGCATTCTGATGCTGCTCGCTCCAGGGTTGCCGTCGGCCGTGGCCTCCGCAGGGCGCCTCGGCCTGCCGTCGGCTGCGTCGGCTGCTGGCCTTCCCGCGGCTACCGGGGGGTCGAAGAGCCAGTGCGGTCGTCGGCCGTGGCGGGCGCAGGGTGCAGCAGGCAGCCGCCAGGCATGGCATCCACTGCCCTGCCCAAGGCCCCAGGGGCGCCGTCCTGCATGCCGCTGCTGCTCGGTCTGCTCGGCCCGCCATCGGCTGTGGCGGCCGCGGCTTCCCCGCTGCTGTCAGTCGCGTCGCCTGCAGGCCCCGCGAAAGCTGCCAGGTCGTCGCAATCGTCGTCGGACACGGCGCCTGCCCGCGGTTCGGCAACAAGGGGGTCGACCTGCGTGCCGCTCGCCTCTCACTCGAGACCCACCGCGCCTGCAGCCGGCAGCGCAGAGGCCGCGGGCTTGCGCCTCGCGCCACTCGCCTCTGGCGCGAAGGCCTTGGCGGCGCAGGGGCTACGCAGGAGCCGCTTGGCGCCTGCCTCCGTGCATGCGGTCCTGAGGCAGGCCCTGCAGTGAACGCCGCCTCCTGATACCTTGATCGGCTCATGCCAGGTGATGCTGAGTGGAGGGCCCTTGTACTGAGGCTCGCAAAGCTGGTCGAAGTCGAGCTTGCGGTCGGCCGCATGGTTGCCAGCCCGTGCGACCCAGAATGCAGCGCCATCGAGAGTGAGCGCTCGCCGCTGCTACGCCAACCTGACCTCCTGCGGGGAACGAATTGTCTCGGTTACGAATTTCGCGCAGCGGTCGGCCTCCATGTTGCCGCGCCTATCTCTCACCGTGATAGTCCCGTCCTGGGTGTTGGCCACCAGGGCATGCGCCTTGACCTCCTTGATCGTGAGAGCCTGGTCGCCAATGCCCCCGAAGTCGTCCAGCGCCTGCCAGACGCGCCGACACAAGCAGCCCCAGGCACAAGTGGCCCGCGAAGATCGGCGGCAAGCTGTGCTTGAGGCTCAGGAGCAAGCCGAGGAGCTCGACCCCGTCGATCGACTGAAGGGGGCCAGGGAGGGGAGCGCCCAGCGCCTTGACCACAGACTTGGGCCCAGGGTCCCACTCCTCTCCTCCAGCAGGTAGCTCCGCGATGCCACAGGCGGACACCGCCAAGGACAGGCCAGCCTCGAAGACCGCGCCGTCCGAGTAGAGGGTCGTGTTGGCGAACGGGAGCCCGTCGCCGCCATTGATCCACTGCGCATGCGCCAGCAAGTCGTCACCAGGCGGCCTCCACGTGTGCGTAGGCTCAGGCAGAATTAACCTCTCCACGAGCGTAGAAATGGTGATGCTGCTGCGAAAGGAGGCCAGCTTCGCGATCTCGGCAGGCAACGAGAAACTCGGCCAACTCTCCTGACAGGCCGTGTGCCAATGCCAGAGGGTCCCTGGCTGTCGTGGGTGCAACTGGCAGCACGGGATGCGGGAGACCCGTGGAGATTTGAAGTAGCGCCTGTCGTTAGGCCACTGCCCGTGCACGAAAACCGACCTCGCGTATCCCCTCTGGGCCTCAGTGAGCGGCTCCCACTTCCTGGCCAGGTTGGTGTTACCCTTGCCGCTAGCTGGCCACCTCCACGAATGCGTGATGAAGGCGCCGTGGCAAACGTCGGCGTGGGTCCCGTCAGCCAGCTGCCGCAACTGCCAGGCCTTCACGTCTAGCGTGCTGCAGTGCTTGACATACCACGGCGGGGCCTCCAGCAGGTTGAGAACGTCGCCGTTGGGCCTGAGGATATGATCGAGGGCCTTCGGGTCGACGCCGATCCTGCGCAGCGACATGACTACCACTCCTAGTGGTCCTCGAACACTGGCCCAGCTGGTGGTAGCCCCAGCAGCCCACGCGAAAGCTGGCTGCAGCTGCGTGATGGGGAGCCACTCCTCCCAGACGGCGCGCGCGAGGGTGACGCAGGGCGCGAGGGTCGCCGCAAAGATGGGGTCGATGGTGGGCGATCCTCCGACCAGCAGGCAGGCCGTGAGCGACTTGCCGTTGGGCCGCGGCTCGATCGCATGGCGCACGATCGACCTGGCCTGGGACCTTCGGTGGAGCTCCTTATGGGGCCGCGATGCTCGTGAGGGGTGTGCCGAAATGGGCGGGGGGCGCATGAATTTGGACGCCCGAAATGGGCACGGAAAACATGGATACAATGCCCAACAACAAATGTTGCCCCAAACCAACAGCGGCCGCTGTTGGGCAGGCGGCCTTGTGTCTCAAATGGACACAGGCCGCGGCGGCGCGGACAGCGAGTCCTGTTCAAAATGAACAGGAGCTGCTGTTGGGCATTGTGCCCATTCTTTCCGTACCCATTCCGTTCGTGCAGAATGCAAACCCTGCCGCTGGGGCCTTCGGTGGAGCTCCCTATGGGGCCACGATCCTCGTGAGGGGTGTGCAGAAACCAGCGGGTGGACATGCGGCGAGCAGAAGCAGGAATGGGAGGATGGAGGAGGGGGAAGAGGAGGGGGAGGAGGAGAGGGGGAACGCGGGGCGATCTCTTCAAAACGAGGACCCAACACCAAAGGATGGTTGGAACAAACAAAATTAGCCTGGCGAAGGACCCAACCATATGCAGCAGTGAGTACCGCAGTCGTGACTATCAAATTCGATGGGGCTCCCTATGGGGCCACGATCCTCGTGAGGGCGGGGCCGCCATGCGAACTTTCCCACTGGGGCCTTCGGTGGAGCTCCCTATGGGGCCACGATCCTCGTGAGGGGTTCTCCGAACTGGGGCGGGGCCGCCATGCAACCTTTCCCACTGGGGCCTTCGGTGGAGCTCCCTATGGGGCCACGAGGCGTGTGAGGGGTGTACCGAAATGGGTGCGGTGCGGGGGAGGAGGGGGAGGAGGAGTGAGTGAGACGCGGGGCGCTGTCTCTTCAAAACGAAGACCCAACACCACAGGATGGCTGGGAAATGATAAGAAAATCGACCCCGGACTATTTTCCTACCATTTTTGAATATTCCTCCTGTGGAGGGACAGGCCCGACCTAAAGCCAGGAGGTGCGCGCGCAGGGGAGCGCACGGGAAGGCCAGCGGCGGCGCTCGGAGCGGCAGGGGCGGGGAGCGCGAGGTCTGCCAGCCTTCGGTCGGGCATGTCCTCGTACAGTGCTGATGTTCCCATCGCATACTTCGGGGCCACGTCCCAGAAATAATTTCGAGCCCGCAGAAAAGTATCGAAACAGCGTCGAACGAGCATCGCCTCCCAGGGCCCGACACGTGAAAACCCTCAAGTTATGGTACTTCCTTGGTGCTCGAACTTCTTCCTGGTGAACAAGGCTGAAGTAGATTGGAACATCATAATCCTACAGGCGGATTCTGGAGGACAAATGCAATATGCAACACATGCTTTAAACATTCCCAGATAATAAAAGAAACATTGGCCCCAACCTTTTTTTTTTTTTCTATAATCCTCCTGTAGGGGGACATGCCCGACTTAATGCCAGCCCCTCGTGCGCTTGTCGAGCTGCCGCCCCGGCTTGGCGTCGATGGCGTGCCGCCTCTCGCTCGGCGGCCGGGCGGCGCGCCGTGCCTCCGCGGGGATGGCAGCCTCCTTCGCGTGCTCTTGCCATCGCTCGGCCGTCCATTCCGTGTGCATCCGTGTCGGTTTCGTGCGTGTGTGTGCTGTTTTCTTCGCAGGGTGATGCAAAGTGCTCCTCGATGGTCCGCGCCGGGAGAAGAGTGCACACGTCCCGAGCGATGCCGAGTGCTTCTCCGGGAGGTCCAGCATCGCCGCATCCGTAGCGCCGAGGGCCTCCGTCTTGGCCCTGAGCGGCCGCAGCTCGGCCAGCCTGCCGCCGTCCTCCGCCGCTGGCTGGCTCGCGCCACTGGCCCCCGCGGCGCCGCGGGGCGCCGGGCGCCGCAGCTCCTCGACGCCGCTGCCTCGGGGCCCGCGGCGGGTCCGCTCCGCGGCGGCCGCCCTGGGCGGCCCCGCACGCCCTGCACGCGGCACGCGGCGCCCGGCTGCCCGGCGCACCGCACGCGCAGGACCAGGGCGCCCTTGCGGTCTCTGCTGCCGCCGCCACCGCGGGCCGCCATCTCTCCCGAAGGGGAGCCGCGGTGGCCGTCCAGGCGGCGGGCGCTCTCCGCCCGACGCCTCTGGAGCCTGTCGCTCTGCTTGCCCGCCCACGCCGCCGGCAGCAGCCGCGCCCGCTGGCGATCGCGGCGCGCGCGGTGATGCGAAGCTTTTTCGCGCAGCGTCGTTGCGCGGTGCTGATGCTGATGCTGATGGTGATGCAAGATGGGGAGCCCCTCGGTGATTCCCTCCACCCTCCCCGGTCCCGGGAAGAGGCAGTCGAAGGGAGCGGCGCCCGCGCGCGCGAGCCTGCCGCCCCGACCTTGGAAGCGCCCCCCCCCCCCCCTGATCCGGGCTGAGCGACCGACTCCCCTCCTGCCTCCCCCTCCTGCCTCCCCCTCCTCCAATTCCTTCTGCCTCCTCCTCCTCCTCCTCCTCCTGCCTCTCCCTCCTCCCTCCTCCCTCCTCCGTCCTCTCTCCCCCTCCCGGTCCTCGTCCTCCATCCCTCTCCCTTATCGATCGCAGCTCCGTCGCACCACCAGACGTGTCGGCAGGGCGGCCCGGGCGCTTCGCCAGATATGATTGTTATCGTCTATGGTCTTAGTGCCTTATATGTTTGTTATCGGCTATGGTCTTAGTACCCGACGTTCTCGATAGAGGGTGGTTCTTCTTCAACATGGGGCTCTGGCCTCGGCGTTGCGCGCATTCGTTGCAAAAGCTTCGAGCATTGGTTTATGCGGATGACGGGCTGTAAGTTTTCAGATTTGTGCTGTCGCTTGAGAATGCCTCAACATTTAGCGGCCAGAGGCTTGAACTGATATAGCAGCTGCAGGAATGGAGCACGTTTCCTTTCTAGCATGGGGCTCTCTCGCTTTCGCTTGCCCTAACTTGAATGACCAGACGTGTAGAAAGGTTGGGCAAGACATGCGCGGAAGCGGGAGGCGGTTCACGGTTTCCCCTGGGGCCGTAGGCGACCCGAGGAGGAGGAGGAGGAGGAGGAGGAGGAGGAGGAGGAGGAGAAGGAGGAGGAGGAGGATGAGGAGGAGGAGATGGAGGAGGAGAAGGAGGAGGAGGAGAACGGGTCGCCTAAGCCCTTCGGAGAAACCCTCCAGGAGGCGGTTCCTTTCCTTTTCAAAACGGGGCTCGCGCTTGAATAGCAGGCCCACGGGGTGCTCGGCCCTTCAGGGGGCGCTTCTTGTGGCGAAAGAGGGCTCACGAGGAGCGGACCTGGGACGGAAGGGTGTGTTGCAGCATCGTTGATGCATTCTGGGTTTACTGTTTTCCTCCTCCTCCCCGCCTCCTGCTCCTCTTCCTCCTCCTCCTCTTCCTCCTCCTCCTCTTCCTCCTCCTCCTCCTCCTGACCCTCCTCATCACCCTTTTCTTGCTGCTGCTGCTGCTGCGCTGCCTGCTGCCTGCCTGCTGGTGCTGCTCCGCCCTTGCTGACGCCGCTCTGCCGCGCCGCTGCCCGCGCTGTCCGCTCTGGTACACCCTTGCGCGTGGATCATGCCGCCACGGAAAATCTTCTCCACCTGTGGCCCGAATGGCAGGAACTCGCCTGCGTCAGATGCGGCCGAAGAGGGGGGTCAGCGCATTTTGGCCCAATGCATGTGCGCGGACGAGGGGGACGTCGCTCAAGCGCTGTCCTCCCATCTTTGCCTCCCGGCGGCTCGGCACCAGGAGCCTTCGCCCTGCCCCCCAGTCGGCTGGGCGCCGCCACCCAGGGGTGTGATGCTTGCGCCGGCCTGGGCCTGGCTCTGCTGCCTGTTTGCCCCCCCCCCCCCCCCGCCCCGCACTGCCAACCCGCGGCCTCTTGCGTGGCTCCCACGCTGCCGCTCTCGCGGCCGCCTGGGTCTCGCGGCTCCCCAGCGGCCGTCCTGGCCACGTCCAGCCTCCTTGCCCGCCCCTCCCTCCGGGCCCCCGGCACTGGCTCGCGCTGCGGACGCGCTCCCGCCTTCGCTACCGCTGTGTCGCCTACCCTGGCGGAACACCACACGCCCCTGGTCAGCCACTGCAGCCTACCTGCGCGGCCCGCCAAGCAGCCGCACCTGGCCCCCCCTCAGTTTGCGGGGGCCGCCGCCGCCACTGCTGCTATGGCCCCCGCCTGCCCGACTTGCCGGTCCTCGACCCTGCACTGCAGCCGCTGTACACCCCCCTGGGCGTGGATGTGATGCCGTCCCGCGCCCGCTGCCAGTGGCTGCTGCACCGGCTCGGCCGCCGCCCGCGCCCCGCTGCGGCCTCGCCGCGTGAGTGCGCTCGCCCCACCTGCCTTCCCGTCTTCCCTCTCCGGCGGCCGTCCCTCTTCTTCTTCTTCTTCTTCATATTATTATTAATATTCTTATTCTTCTTCCTCATATTACTATGTGTACGGTTATTGTTTGTATTAGTGTTGTTATTATTACCATGCGAATCATCAGCATTATTTATTATGCTTATGAGTATTATCAATATTAGAAGTATTCATACGTTATTATTATTGTTATTATTATTATTCTCGTGCGTTCGGGACAATAAGCTAGCAATGCCGTTGCCCGGCTTGCCGAAAGCGCGTGCGGACGGACGCTGCCACGCTGCGACGTAAAAAGTGCGGGGACGAGGGTGGGCCAGCGGACGTGCTAAAAGAAAAAGAAGACTGAGGAGGAGGAGAAAAAGACGAGGGGCCCATAATATTTGGGAGATCTCATGGCCCCAGCCATGATAAATATTCTAGAACTCCCATGTCGCGTTTTTTTAACGTCGACCCCCCAAGGTCTGGATCCCTTCCTCGGGACTGGCTTTTCATCCGGGGCCGTTATCTGACGGTCCTGGAGCCTGGCACACCAGAGGCAGAAAACGGCCAAAAACAGTCCGTTGCAATTCTTCCCAACGAAAGGAGGCGAGGGTCACCCACCCACCGGGCCCCTCCACCTTCGAATGTAGGCTCCCCAGATCTCTCCCAGGGTGCGTTTTCACCAAACTTTCGAGGAGAATCCAGCCGTGGCGACGAGGGCTCTCAAGGACGAGCCGAGGCATCGGTATCTTGTCCTCCTCCGACCTTCCTGAACGCCCCCGGAGGTGTTGAGCAGGGACCGACCGTCCTGGCATTCCTATAGGCCTACCACGACATGTTCTTAGAACCCAAACATGCCCGAAAAACGACAACCATGGCCTTAGAGCATCAACCCGATATGATAAAACGAGACGGCCCTAGCCAGAACTGCTCCGAGAACGCTTCGAGCAAACGACAAACAGTTATTAGAAGATTCTTCGGCAAGCCCATAGGCACGCCAGGACGCTTCGCCACTGCTCGAGGGTGGGCTCACCCGCCCAGCTCGGCGCATCCCGACCAGATCTGACAGGCACCCCGAGGCCCCCGCTCCATGACTACGCTGGAGCTCCTGCCCGGCAGGCGCAGCGAGCCCGTGGAGGCCTCGACGCCGTCGCACCCCGCCTTTTCGGCTGGAGGGGGGTGGAGGCTCTGCTGTCGCCGCCTTCCTCCCTCTCCTCCTCGTCCTCCTCCTGCTCCTCCTCCTCCTCCGCCTCCTCCTCCTCCTCCTCCTGCTCGTCCTCTTCCTCCTCCTTGTCTTCCTCCTCCTCGCATTCCTCTTGCCTCTTGCCTACCTAAAGAGCGGTGTCCACATGGCGGGGGCCCTATATAGAAATTCGAAGGGGCCTATCATGGTTTGTCACTCACCGACTGGGCTGCGATCCACCCAGCCAGTGAACCGCGGCAGGGCCCCCTCCCCGAATCAGAAAAACGCAACTGAGGGAGGGAGCTCCAGGTGGGGTTCAGGCTCGGGCCAGGCCTTGATGTCCCTCGGGGGTCTCCCTGCCTCCAGTGATTTGAGGACTCTCTCCCTGTGCGTATTCCTCCTCCTCCTCCTTCTCCTTCTCCTCCTCCTCCTCCTCCTCCTCCTCTCCTTCTCCTCCTCCTCCTCCTCCTCCTCCTCCTCCTCCTCCTCCTCCTCCTCCCCCTGCCCCTCCTCCCCCTTTTCCCCCTCCTCCTCCTCCTCTTCCTCCTCCCCCTCCTCCCCCTCCTCCATCTCCCCTTCCCTCCCCCTCCTCCTCCTCCTCCTCCTCCTCCTCCTCCTTTCCCTCCTCCCTCCTCTTCCTCCTTCTCCTCCTCCTCGCCCTCTTTTCCCCCATGCACAGGCAGCGGACATGAATCATGCTCGTTGCCTCTGCGGAGGGTGGGAGCCAACATCTTGCGGAGGGAGCATGACGGATCGGAGGACTGAGTATCGGAAACGGCGAAGACCGTCGTCGTCGTCGTCGTCGTCGTCGTCGTCGTCGTCGTCGTCGTCGTCGTCGTCGTCGTCGTCGTATCGTCGTCGTCGTCGTCGTCGCCGTCGCCGTCGCCGTCGCCGCCGAGGTCGCGGTCGCCGCAGCCGCCGTTGTCGAGAGAGGCCGTGCCCTGCCTTGGCCTCCGGCGGCTTCACGGCCTGCGCGCCAGCTCCGCGCGCGCGGGCGCGGGGAGGGCGGCCGCCGCCGCGGCCGCTGCCGCCGCGCTCCTCCGCCCGCACGGGCTACAGCAGAGTGCGGCCAAGGGGACGGAGCTCAAGGGTGCAGGGCACCCAGAGCGCGCCAAGGTGCCATGTTGCCCTCGGGCCGAAGAGGCCCGAAGCTTACCAACAGAGAGCCAAGGGGGCGCACAGGTGCCCTGCTTCAGAGGCTCTTCCCTGAAGCCGGCTTTGACTGCGCAGTAGATCGCTGCCCGCGGTAATCTTGAGATGGGGATCCAGGGGCACACTTGTGGCCGTGTTTTGCCTCTCAGACGCGTCCGACGGCTTCTGTAGGTCCCAGGGGCCACTGGGAGGATAAAACATTTCTGTGGGGTACCCGCTGGCAGGTTTTTGGGCGCGCCTGCTGTGTACACCAACGCCGGCGCTTGGAATTCCCATCTTGGACCCAGGATCTGTGTATCCGCTCTCCTGGCTTGGCTAGGACGGCGTACGCATCGATTCTGAACCCAGGATGAGCCTGGCCAGGATCGGCTGCTGGCGAACAGTTGGCGCCGCCCTGAGATGCTATAAAAACTCCAAAATTGAGACTTCGACCTCCGATCTGGAAGTCCAAGTCTTCGGAAGCTCAGGAGCCTCTGGTCTTCCGCCCACGTTTCCCTTATCCTCTCACTCATCGCTCCTTCCCCTCCTCATTATCCCATATGTGGTCGTCCTTCTCCCGCCTTTCCCCCATCCTCGTCCCTCTCCTGTTCCTCCTCCTCCTTCTGTCCGTTCTCGTGCTCCTCTTGTTCTACTGCTTCTCCCTCCTCCTCCTCCTGCTGCTGAGTCCTGAGTCCTGAGAACAAGGTCTGTCAGACGTTGCCCTCCTCCTCCTCCTCCTCCTCCTCCTCCTCCTCCTTCTCCTCCTCCTCCTCCTCCCCCTCCCTTCCTCCCTTCCTTCCTTCCTTCCGCTCGGCTTGGCGAGACCCGCACTCTTGCGGCCGCGCGCCCGGCCGGGCCGCCAGGCGCGGGCACATTCCTCCTCCTCCTCCTCCTCCTCCTCCTCCTCCTCCATTCCTTTTCCTTCAAAATAACTCTTTGGACGCCCTCAATGGGTACGGAGAGAATGGGTACAGTGCCCAACGACAAATGTTGTCCCAAACCAACAGCGGCCGCTGTTGGGCAGGCGGCCTTCTGTCTCAAATGGACACAGGCCGCGGCGGCGCGGAGCCCTTTTCAAAATGAACAGGAACTGCTGTTGGGCATTGTACCCATTCTTTCCGTACCCATTTCGGGCGTCCAGAAACTCCTGCCTGTCGCACCCCGAGGCCGGTCGAAAGGGTGGGCTGGACGTTTCGCCTGAGACTTCCTCACCACTTATGACCCTGAAGCTTACACATTGGGAACAGTTGCACACACGGAGGGCGCGTGGTTTTCAACATGTGCCTCTCCCCTCAGCGCCGCGCACATTCGTTGAGCAAATTGCCAGACATTCACAGATTGAGGGCGGGTCGTTCTCAAAACTTGGCTCTCGCCTTAGCGCCGCGGGCATTCGCTTAAAAACATTGCAAGAGTTTCACGGATTGAGGTCGGGCTGCTTTCAAAATGTGGCGCTAGCCTTAGCGCCGCGCGCACTCGTCTTAAACATTGGCAGCCGTTTCGCGGACTGAGGGCGGTTCGTTTTCAAAATGTGACTCTCGCCTTAGCACCGCGCGCATTCGTTTTAAACAAATTGCATGAGCTTCACGGATCCCCATGGTCAGCATACCAGAAATTGTGTTTTGGACGGATTCAGGATTCTGAGGGTGCAACAGTTACGTAATTCGCGGTGTTGAAGTCCCAGGAATGGCATCCTGGCACGATTCAGGATCGTCAAGACGCAACGGTCAGGTCAGTCCGTGGCGTTGGAGTCCCGAGAATGGTGTTTTAGGATGCGTCAGGGTCTTCAAATGGTTGTCTCCCAACGAGGCAGTTCGCTTAGTGGACATGAACCCTTGTATGGGGCCTGTGAAGAAGGAGCTTGGAGGGAGGGTTTGTTCCAACATCGCTCATGAGTCTTCGGTTTACACTGTCGTCCTCCCCCTCCTCCTCCTCCTCCTCCTCCTCCTCCTCCTTCCCTCCTCCTCCTCCTCCTCTTCCTCCTCCTCCTCCTCCTCATCCTCCTCCCCCTCCCGCCTCCGCCTCCTCCTCCTCCTCATCCTCCTCCTCCTCCTCCTCCTCCTCCTCCTTCTCCCCCTCCTAGCACGTACACAGGTACCCTCCTGTTTAGGTTGCTGTTGGCTTAAGAGTCACATGCGACACGGCCGTTCGCCACCTATGGGGCCGTTGCCCATAGGGAGGTGATCAAGCTAGGGCCTGTAGAGTAAAATCAAGGCGATCATGAAAGACGCGAGCACGAGGGTGACCGAGGAAACTAGGTCCCCATGCTGCCCCAGGGCCCAGGGGGGGAGTACGAAACGGCGAGGACGACACTGCGACCAAGCTGATCAGAGGATGAGGGAGGGTGATCAGTGGACAGGGTGGCGGCGGTGGCGAGCTGCGCTCGGGAACTGTTGCTCAGCGTGTCGCAGCGCCGGCCCTTAAGACACGCTATGCCCTGCAAGCTGGTAGCATGTCGCTCCGCTGCGCGGGGCCGGAAGCCGGGAAAAGCTCGGGAAGTGGACGCCTGGGGACCGGGATGTGGATATAATGTCGCGCCGACTGGCGGCGCGACCCGCCAAGCCAAAGTTCTTGACCGTACCCTCCTCTTCTTCTTCTCCTCCTCCTCCTCCTCCTCCTCCTTCTCCTACTCCTCCTCCTCCTCCTTCTCCTCCTCCTCCTCCTCCTCCTCCTCCTCCTCCTATCATCCTTCTCCTACTCCTCCCGCTTCTCCTCCGCCTCGGAAGAAGAGGAGGGGAAGGAAGAACATGTGGAGGGCACGAGGGTGCGGATGGAGAGCGCGATGAGGAATAAGAAGCGGCTCCTCCGCCTGCTCCTGCTCCTCCTCCTGCTCCTGCTCCTCCTCCTCCTCCTCTTCCTGCTCCGCCTCCTTCTGCTCCGCCCACTCTCCCGCCCGCCTCTTTATCTTTTTCCTCCTCTCCCGCTTCTTACCCGCTCCCCCTTCCCCTTCCCCTCCTCCTCCTCCTCCTCCTCCTCGGAGGGGGGAGGGGATGGTGGGAGGAGGACGAGGAGGGAGGGAAATAAGGAGGAGGATGAGGAGGAAAAGAAGAACGAGGAGGAGGAGGAGGAGCAGGAGGAGGAGGAGGAGGAGGAGGAGGAGGAGGAGGAGGAGGGTATGGAGAGGGGGAGGAGGGGTGGGAATGGGGCAACGGTGCAGCCTGCAACCCAGTGTCTGACGTCTTCTTCTGCCAGGAGAAATCGATGTCATCCTTGACGAAGAAGTTGCTAACGCGGTCGAGGATCTCTGACACTGTAGGCCGACTCGATTACAAGCCGCTTCTGGCTCCTTGCTCCACCCCTCCCCCCACTCCCCTCCTGTTCCTCCTTCTTCTCCTCTTCATGCTCTCCTCATTGTCCTCCTGTCCTTCTGTCCTTCGTGCTTCCTCCCTGTCCTTCTTGTCCTTCGTGCTCTCCTCCTTGTCCTCCAGCTCTTCTTGCCCTCCTCTCGACTTTCTCCGTCAGGGAGCGGGGATGGAGGAGGGAAAGAGGAGGGAAGGGAGAGGCGAAGGTGAGCGGGGAATAGGGGGAGGGGGAGGGGGGGGTTGGCAGGAAGGGAGGAGGTGGAGGACGAGGAGGAGGAGGACAAGCTAGGTGTGCTCGCGTCATATCTGACGTCCTACCCCTCCCTCCCATCCCTTACCATGGCGTAGATCTCCTCTCTATTCGCACAATCGGATGTCGAGCAGGGCAATGATCGCGAGAGAGTGCGCAATGCATCGTAGAGCACGGCATGGCATGGCGCAGAAGAGCACGGCAGAGCGTATCATGTCAGAGCATAGCGCGGCATTGCGTCGTGAAGCAATGCGTCACAAACCATTGCAACGCAACGCATGTCATCGCATAGCGGCGTAGAACAGAACACCGCACAGCATGTCATGTCAGCGCACCGGGTTCCTTGGAGGATAAGTGGATCGTCTTCGAAGGGTCTGGGCCGGTCTGGAGTCGCGGCTCCATGTTTAGCTTCCTGGGATCCTCGAAAAGCTCCTCACAAGGCAGGGCTGATGGAGAGCACCCGCTGGCTCTGCTTGCAACATCGCCTTCTGAAAGCAGAAACGGGGCTCCGGCTTGATACTTCCTCCAAACGACACCGCCCCGAAGTGCGGGGGGGTCTTCTGCGGCCCAAAAACTGAATGAATCGACACCTGACGTGTAATCGCTTGCGATGTTTTTCTGCGGGTCATTTTCTAAATTTGGGGCCTACTTGGAAGGACCGAACACGCCCACGCTGCAGCGGGAGCACGTGTGGGAAAACCAAAGGCGCAGAAATGTGGCCAGTGCTGCAGCAGGAACAACATTTTGAAGGACCGAAAAAAATCGGATTGTCAAAAGCACATATGAAAACTAGTGAATGAGGCCAGCGCTGCAGCGGGAGCACGATTCGGGACGAGCGAAAGCGCGGAAATGAGGCCAGCGCTGCAGCGGAAACACGATTCGGCACGAGCGGAAGCCCGATAATGAGGCCAGCGCTTCAGCGGGAACATCATTTCGAACAAAAAACAAAGCGAATACCCCCTTCCCGGGAACCCTGTTTGTAAACAAAAACCAAGTGCGCGGAGGGGGGCCGAACATCTTCGGGACGTCATCAGGGGAGAGAGGATAATAGTATTCATATTGTGTGATTGTGGAGGAGGAGGAGGAAGAGGAGGAGGAGCAGGAGCAGGAGCAAGAGGGGTGACGGCGGGGGGAGGAAGGGGGCGGGGGAGCGCCCCCGACTGCTCCGGGCTCGGGCGCTGCCCTGGCGCCGCTGAAGATCTCTCCTCTGCGCCCCGCCCCCCCCCCCCCGGCAGCCCTTCCGACCGAACCAGGCCCTGCCGCGGCTGCCCCGCACTGCACTGCGCCGCAGCGAAGCGATCTCCCCGGCCCTGCCGCAGCCGCCCGAGCTGCCCCCCCCCCCCCGCCCCGGCCTCGCCGCCGCCAGCTTCGTCCGCCGTCCCCGCCGCCGGCCGTCCTCGACTCCGCCCCCCCTCGGGGCCCCGGGTGCTGCCCTGCGCGCCCTGCGTTTCTCGTTTGGCCCCGGTGCTGGTCTCTCTCTCTGTCAGGGGCCCGCGCGCGGGCCGCACGGAGCCACTCGCCTGCCTCTCCGGGGCTCGGGCGGAGAGAGAGAGCCGCAGTGGTGACGGCCGACGAGGCGCCGTGCGCGCGCGCGGGAAGCGATGGAAGCTCTCCTGTGACCTCGGATTTCCGCGTCAGCGACAGGGAGGCGTGGAATCCCTCTTGGTTGCCCTTGCGAAGCAGGTTCTGCGCCTCGGACGTGAGCGAGTTGGCCTGCGGCGGGGCTCATCGTGCCGAGACGCATCGGCACCGATGTCGCCAGACACGCGGAGCGCGGGGCAGCATCACGGCGTCAGACCCACTGATAAATCACGGGCTAACCGTCGGCTGCACGTAAGAGTGACCCTGGGTAAGAGTGACCTTTGGTGCGCGGCTTTTGGGGGGCCGCGGGGGGGCCAAACAGAAGCGCGCAAGACGCCACTGCCGCCTCGCGTTCGGCGATAGGGGACCCCAATGGGCCCGCACCAGAGGTCACTCCGGGGAAGGGTCACTCTTACGTGTCGTCGAGTTTAAGCCCCTGCACGATGACTCATCTCTGGTACTCGACCGCCGGCGTGCCTCATCCTCACACGTTGCCTCTTGTACCCGACCGCCGGCGTGCCTCATCCTCACACGTTGCCTCTTTCTCTTGTCTCGCACGCCGTGCCCATCACGGTGGAAGGCTTCTCTTACCAATCGAGCGAGCCTGCCGTGCGCGCAGGTCGGACTGCACTCGTAGTGTGCACAAGGCTCGGTGTAGGTAGAACCTAGCAAGGCTGGGCAGCACAGGAGGAAGAGTGATACCGATATCCACCACCCCCAGAACAAGTTAGGAACGAATTCGGCGAATGCGTGTAGCACGGTTGGGCGATGCGAGAAGGAACAAATCGGGACGTGGGGAGTGAGGAGGACGAAGGGGAGGAGCAGGAGGAGGACCAAAGTAAACCCACGATGCACGATGCATGGACGATGTTGCAATACACCCTCCCGGCCCAAGTCTCCTTCTCAGAGGTTTCCAAAGGCCCGTCGTTTCACTACAGGCGCCCTCTTCAACACACGGCACTGTATGGGTTTACCATTCAGGCGCGAGCCCCGCTTTGAGAAGAAACTGCCTTGCATCCTTCCAGCGAGCAAATAAGGCGGAAAAGGGCATAGTCATACAGCTCAGCGAAGTGTCCAAATATACCCCTGTTTAGAAAAGGAACCGCCCCCCCATCTGTGCAACTGGCGCACACGTTGAGAACACTCCGAGAAAATTTCGAACGAGAATCCCAACTTGTAAAAGGAGCCGGCCTCCACCAGTGCAGCTGGCACATACGTTTAAAGCTGTACCATTTCACCTTAACAAGGTCTCACGTGAGAGGCCCATTTTGAAAAAGAGCAGTCCTCCATCCTTGTAGCTACTGCTAACCTTTACAAGAAATGCGCACGGCGCTGAGGCAAGAGTCGCATTTTGAAAAGGAGTCGCCCTCCTTCCTTGTAACTGCTGCGAGCTTTTTGAACGAAAATTCACGACGCCAAGGCGGGGGCCGCATTTTGAAAAGGAGCCGCACCCATCCGCCCTCCATCCTCTGACTGTTGCAAGATCAAGAACGAAACCGCGAGGAGTTGAAGCTGGAGCCCAAGTTTGACAACGACCTGTGCTCCATCCGTGTAACTGGTGCAAGCTTGTAAGGCGAATGCGTGCGGCGCTAAAGCGAACCCCGCATTTTGAAAACGAAACGCCCTCCGTCCTTGCAGCTGCTGGGAACGTTGAAAACCAATGTGCGCGCACTGAGGCGGCTGCGCATTTTGAACCTACTGTACAACTGTTGGGAATTGAAGCTTAGGGGTCATAGCCTACCGCTATGCCTTCAATAAACCAATCAATACTTGACGTCATCCTTGATTTGCACCAATTCACGAGCGCACACACACACACACACATCGAGGCATCAATATTGCTGTGGTCGCCCTCTTGGGTCATACATATCACTTCCCCTGTTGCGTCTTAGTTTTGCTTCCCTCCCATCTTTCTCTCCATATATCAGTCTCTCTCCCTTCTCGCCGTATCCTCCTCCTCCTCCTTCTCTTCCTTCCTATCCTCCTCCTCCTCCTTCTCTTCCTCTCTCTATCTTCCTCCTCTCCTCCTCCTCCTCCTCCTCCTTCTCCTCCTCCTCCTTCTCCTCCTCCTCCTCCTCCTCCTCCTCCTCCTCCTCCTCCTCCTCCTCCTCCTCCTCCTCCTCTCGTCTCCTCTGAATTGTTCTGCCCTTCCGTTCCCGCGGCGCCCGCCCCCCGCCCCAGGACGAGACCACGGAAAACCAGGAAAAACACACATAATAAAACATCTGGCCTGCACAGAAACAAATGAAAAAAAAACAAGTCAGTCTCCGAAGGCGGAGAAAGGGACAACAATGAAACAAAGACATCCTCCCGCAGTTCGCCTCCTCTGGTTCTTGTTTCCGAATCTGGGCTTGCCTTTATCGGGGCCCTAGCGGCTTTATACGGTTAGGTGAGGTTTGGCGCCGACTTCGGCAACGCGCCTGGGTGCCGGGGTGCCTGGGTGCCCGGGTACCTAGGTGCCGGGGTGCCTGCTTCGACCGTCGGGTGGGTGTAAGTGCGGTAAGAGCGTTGTATATCCGATGAAATCGTTTCAACGAAGATGTATGCAGGTTCGTGCTAGTTGAACTCACATATTCAACATAAAATATCGAACTTAGCGTTCATCTACTTAACGTTTTTTGTCATATAAGTATCTTCAACAACATACCATACATACTACTCACAGAACCATCCATCTTATTAACTGAGCTATCGGGTACCGCTGCCAAGATATAACGATACATACACCTCAACATATCCAACTTAGTAGCTAAGTCAGCTAAGTCGATGTGGGCTGTCCGATTCGGTTAACCTGAAATTTGCATAACGTTTTATGTTTTTGATGTTTTTTCTTGATATTGCTATGTTTCGGGGAAAACAGCAAAAACAACGTTTTAACAACTACAACGCGGCAGTTTTCCAGGACAAGGCGCCGCAGGTCGACGCGCCGAGCCGCCCTCAGGACGCCTGCGGGGCGCGGAGGGGGGGGGAGAGGGAGAGGGGGGGGGGATCAACTATTCTTCAAACTGCCACCCCTCGGCGGCCATCACCGCCTCCCCTCTCCTCTCCTCGTTGTCGGCGGCCAGCCCGCCCCCACTCCCTCCTGCCGCCCTCCCTCCCCGAGCCCGTCTTCCTTCTTCGGCGGCATATCCGCCCCTCCCCCCTGCGCCTCTCTATCGAAAGGCGGCATGTCCGCCAGCGGCATATCCGCTCTCGCATGCGCGCGTTTTTTTCCTTCTCACGTGATGGCGAGCACATGGCCATCGTCCTGTAGTCGCCGATAAGCCGCCCAGGCTGGCGGGATCAGCTCGGCGGGCATCACGGCGACGTCGCCGCGCGGCCGCCACAGGGGCGCGCCTGGGCATGGCGCGCGCGCCCATTCCAGGGTCTCCACCAGCAGGTAGCTGGCGGCGCCAGCCTGCGCGCAACAACGCACGATGTACGCCTCGCCGTCGCCCAGGAGAAAATCTGGAGGGCAGCAGCGCCTCGATTTTTGGGGGGCACACGCATGTGCACCCCTAAATACCAAGGTTGGTTGCGCCGTCTGTCCTGGCTGCCGTGCATCTGGCCGTCGATCGACGCCTCTCTGCTGGTCCACGTTTCAGCCCTGCGGAGGGTTTCCTCCTCCTCCTCCTCCTCCTCCTCCTCTTCCTCCTCCTCCTCCTGGCGGCAAGCCGCCTTGGCGGCAAACCGCCATCCCCTCTCCCAGCCCATCCTCCTCCACAAAAGGGCACGCAAGGTTGCGCCCCGAGTGCCCGAACGTACTGTCCAGCTCTGGCATGCGCCACGCTTTGGCGCGCGCCTCCTTCGCTTCCTCCAGGAAGCAGGCGAGCGTCGCCGTCAAGGCCGACAGCTCGAAATTCGCAGGGTTGTCGATCTCCTGCGACCTGGACCGAAGCAGGTTGTGCTTCCGCTCAAGCACGAAGGCGTCCAACCAGATGCCGTCCTCCGCAGGCTGGTCGGGGACGTGCCACAAATAATGGTGCCTCGGCTTGATCAGGGCTGGCCCGTGCGCGGCTTTGTGCAGCGCCAAGGAAATCGAAACGGCCTTGTTCCAGACAGCTATCAAATTCGGCACGGCGCCGATCCTCAGGACGTAGCCGAACCGCCTGCCACCTGAGCGCTCGAGGATGCGCGCGGGCCGACGCGGTGCATCCTCGAACGCGCAGGCCAGCGTTTGCGTTTCAGCTGCGGCCGCATGTCCTTTTGCCCTGCATGTACAATTCGAGCATCTTCGCCATCGCCTCGAACGACCGCGCCGCAGCGTTCGCCATGCCGCTGGGACGCAGCTCTGTGTGCACCCAATGACGAATCAAAGGGAACACGGCCAAGCAATCCGACGCCTTGCCCACGAAGTGCGACGCCTTGCAGGTCGCTTTCTTCCGAGCCACGCTGAACAGAAACGCTGGCGGTTTCCTGCCGCGTCTGCCAGTCCGCCACGCCGAGCAGCGATCCCGCCACGTTCCCCACGCGTCGGGGATGACATCCCTCACCGCCTTGAGGGGCGCAAAGATTTCGACCTGCGAGGTCCCGCCGCTGGCCAGCATGGTATGCACGGGGTCCCTCACGCATGTGCTCGGCGGCGCCACCGTCCGCAACGCCTGGCACGCCACCAGAGAACGGTCATCCAGAGTGCTGCCCATTGCCGTCTCCTTCGGGGGCCGGAACATCAGAAGGGAAGGGCGGGGGAACATCAGAAGGGGATCGATGGACATGTTTTCCTCCCTGGCTCCAGTCTCTCGATGTTCGCTCTGGTTGTCGTGTCCCGCAGCGGCGCCAAATCATAATATTGCTGCAAAAACTCGTCTGACGACAGCGGGTCAAAGCGCGAGTCGGCGCGCCAGAGAGGCACGAGGTAATCATCGTCGTCGTAGTCTGCAAGACATTCCGCCTGATCCAGAACAACGTTCTTGCATTGCAAGCACGGTCTCAGACCTGCAGCGTCCTTGGTGCAGAATGTCTCCTTTCCAGCCGCCTCGTCTGCAATCAAGCGGTGGAACTTGGCGAAAAATTGCACGCCGCCGATTGGCGCACCGTGCTCCGACAGACTCTCTGGCCCCAGGAACAGCGCGCGAAGCAATGCCCACGCCGCGGCCGAGCCGCCGATGCTCTTCTTCACGACGACGCGCAAGGCGCCGATCGGCAGCCACGCA